TTTCCTTCTTTCTTTCTTTCTTTCCTTCTTTCTTTCTTTCTTTCTACCATGAGTGAGAGAGACAGCAAGATGAAAGAGAGAGAGAAAGAAAGAGAGAGACAGCCTCCCCAACACTGTCTTAACACTGCACTCCACCTCCAGCGTCTGCCAGCCCTGGACCACTGCATGCTCATGCCCAGGGTCCTCAGAGAGGTCTCCAGACATGAACCAGAACCTCTCCATGTGGGGGACTCTTGCAATGCCACTGTCCAGCTCTTCCCACACCCCATTCTTATGCCCAGGCCTCACTTGTGCCTGGAATGCTTTACTCAATCTCATTGTTCTATCTTGTCAGAGTATAAACTGGGGATGAGAAGGACACAGGAGAGACGAGTGTTATGGGAATAACCTGCAGGGCAAGCAGGGGAATCAGCTGAAGACATAGGACGGGGGATCCCAGACAAGCTTCTGATGTCGTATTGAGCAGAAAGCTCTCTATGTATGGCAAAGCAGGAAACATGGAGCAAGGCAGAGTGAGAGGAGGAAAGGAGGTTATGATCAATGACCTACAAGACAGAATGGGGGAAGAAAGGTGACACCAGGAGGCAGCTAGTAGGGATAGGGGTGGTGAAGACAAGCCTGCTGAGCTCATTAGAGACACTAGTACAGATGCACATCTACCACATTGACCCACGTGCTCCCTCAGTGCGTATTCTTTGCCAAAAGCAGTGGCCATTACTGCCTTCTTCAAACCAACCTGTCTTCACTGAACACTTGCTACGTGTAAAACCTCACACACAAGGGCCCACAGTAGGCACATTGCCTGCCTAGTCAGAGGGAAAAGAGATAGAGAAAGAAAAAAGCAGCCTGTGATGACTCTCATGGGGCAGGTGTTATTGTAAATGTTGCAGGAGCTCCCAGAAGAGAGAGATGAGGTGGGCTAGGAAGAAAGAGTGAGAACTAGAATTGACTGAGAAAGAAAAGAGGACTTCAGTCATGTCATGTTAAGTAAAGACTCACCCTTGTAGACTTCAGAAATGGGAATGAAAGATGGGGTCACTAGCTGGCCATTAGAGCCCCCACCGGCCTTTATGTTCTGTGGCCCAAAGCCAGCACCACGCCCAGTAGATTTCCAATCATAAAGACAGCCATGGGCTTTCATAGCATCACCCTTGTGTCCACCTCCCTGTGCCCTTTCTCGGCACCTGTACTACCCAAGTTTGGAGGTTGACTCTCAATGAAGAAATGACTGGGAAAGAAAGGTATGTGGGTAGCAGATAGGAAAGCGCAAATAAGTCTTGCAGATAGGTAACCTGGTGAGACTGCCGTGGAAGCACAGTTTGGCTGCTTGTTGCTCAAAAGCCAACACTCAAGAAAGCACAAAGGAAAGGCAGCTTTAGTAAGGAAGCCAGCAACCCAGGAAGAGGGTTGCCCATTGCCTGAAGGCCATCTCCCAAGATCTGGTCTAGTAATATGTTGTAAAGGGATGGAGTGGGAGACCACGTGCTCTTGGGCCCAGAACAGCAGTCAGTTATTTCCAAGATCATCCCACAGAGAAGGCTCGCTAAGGTCAGGGTTGTTGTTTTCAGCTCTCAGGTTGATGAGACCTGGTCGTCAGGACCTAAGTTTTTATCTTCTCAAAGTGCACGCGCCTCTTGGGTTTCCATCTCAAGCCCTGGTGTCTGCAGAGTCTCATTAAAGTCAAGATTAGTTTTTGTAAGTTAAAAGCAGTAAGAAAGGTCTGTTATTTAAGAGGGATCTATTATGCTTGGTTTAATACAGAATTACTTTGGTTCCTCTTGTCGCCTGGCTATAAATGTAAAAGGGATCCTCTGCACCCACTTTCCTTGCCCCTTATCCTTGTCACCAGACAGTATCTAAAAACCTACTGGTACCTGTTTGCTCCTACCAAGTCCCAGCCCTATGTAATAGCCAACCAGAGTAGAGCTCAGAAACAGAAAGAGATTTACTCTATGTCACATTCCCCATGTCCCTAGTATGCATGACTACTAATTCTGTGTTTGGCTCATTCTTCCAATTCCCTGCAAGTTTGGGTTGGGACTTATGGAAATAGAGTCATGCACTGCATGGTGACAGCTTGGTCAGAGATGAGCCACCTATGTGGCGGTGAAGCAGGGGGCTGTGCTCTGTAGCCTGGCGTGTGATAGACTGTCCCATCTAGGTTTGTGGGAGTTCACTCAGTGACATTCCACACAATGACGGAAGTGCTTTACACGTTTCTCAGAACATATCCACACCAGGAAACCAAGCATGATTACATTTAAGAGATAATTGGAATTTCAGTGGATCTTGCTGACAGGGGTGAAGGAGATGTGGCCTTTCCCTTCTGCTAGGTGCTTGTCTCTCATTTCTGAGACCTCCCTCTATGACCTCAGAGATAAGCTCTTAAGCAGAGAACCAAACAGAAACTTTCCTGGGAACCTGAGGCTATGTGTTCTCCCTCAGGTTCTACCAAGGCCTGTTATTAGGGTACAAGATTGGCAGAGAGGGAAAAAATGGTAACTGCAAAAAGTCTTCTAATTTGTCAGAGGGCGTGTGTTTGCCAGCAAGATTCAAAGAGAGAGGTAAAGCAAGAAAGCATCCCCTCACTTATAAGGTGTAACTCCTTCTCCTCCATTTCTCCCACCTTTTGGGGTTTTAGGTATGCATGCACATGTACCCAGTAGTTTTCATGACCTCTGAATTTCCAGCTCTGGGACTCAAACCACACTGTTGGCCATGTGGGATCCAGCTCCCTTGACCACCGGCCACAGACTGGCTCAACGAAAAGCTTTGTTATTAAGCATTTATATCATCTTGAACAAGCCTCATTTAGGGCCTTGGTACCCTGATCTGTCAAATGTCAAGAAGGCCCATCATATAAACTATCTGAGAGAAAAAAAATCCCAACGTCCTCCCAAGACACGTGGAATCAAAACATCTGATATGTGGCCCAGGAATCTCTACAACGAGCTACATAGGTGATTCTGAGGAGCACCCAGATCTGCCAGTCTCTACTAGAAGTCACCTGAATTTCATGACCTCTGAATTTCCTTCTGGTCTCACATTTTATGAGCAGGTAGGATGCACGGAAATATTTCTAAAATCTAAGAGGTTTAAATTCTCTGAGTGTCTTCATCTAGAATGGAAGGAGGAGAAAGAAAAAGAGCTGATTTACAGGTGAGACTTCCCTGAAGAACCATTTTTTTATTTCTAGGTTTCCAGTGTGACGATATTACCTCTCAGCTTGGCCCATCCCTTGTAAACTGAATTGCCTGAATCCACGCTGCTCTTTGTGTTCGTTTTCCTTTTGTTTTTGTTTTTTCTTTCTGTACCTTTTGGCAAAGTCTTCTATAAATGTTTCAGTCTGTTTGAAACTGTGCTATTAAATAGTATGGGTTGCATCCAGCCATATGGTGGACAGCTAAAGGGGCGAACTGCCCATCCCACTCCACCCAGCTGAAGTCAGAATGGCGTCAACTGATAATCAGTGAGTCACACCAAGAACACATGCAGCAGTCAGAGGCAAAGCTAAATACCTAGTTGTCCTCTCTCCAAAGAGATTTTTCTTTTGATTTTTGCCTTAGAGGTCATAAAGTAGATTCTCACTAAAACTGTAGAAAACAGTGGCTTTTCCTTCTAGAAAATTCTGGAAGAGGGGAGGGGAAGAGCTCTTCTGCATACTCAGAGGAGATACTAGCCTTTTCAGCATAGGCCAAGATGTTACACTTGCAGGAAGATGATTATGACCTTAAGAGAGTGGAGAAGATTTCAGTTGGTAGATGGAACTTAGGTCCCAGGCAGTGAGCCTTTCACAGTGTATCATGGCGATGGGTTGGGGTCTTGCCCACAGCCAAGACACCATGCTGCTCCCAGGCACTGACGTGAACCATATGCCAACCCTGTCCAAGATGGCTGGATTGTTCAAGAGAAGAGGTACCTGTCAGGAAACAGGGACCAGTCTCTCTGATGAGAAGGCAAATCCATGGTGGCCATGGGAGACTGGTGCTCCTCTCCAGTGAGAGCGATAATGGCTGTGGTGGGACCAGGCATGCTCAAGCACACAGCAGGTCAGAAACCACCAGCCCAATGTGGCCATAGCAGTTTCATCAGAATGATCACAGATCATCATCCGGGAAATGGTGAGGTTTGGTGGCCAGGGATTGTTGGCTGGTGGCCTGGCAACTTGGACTCTCCCAGAATTTTCTACAGACTCCAAAGCAGAGAGGCCAATGGCAATTCTCCTGTTTTCCTTGGTCTATGAAGGTGTACTTCCTGGAGGAAGGAAGTGCTTGAGTCAATAACATGCTGTGAACTGCCTTTCACAAACAGTGCAGTCCTGGAAGGCCACTGCTGTCATTGTCCGCCCACCTGTGATGGCACGTGTGCACATGCATGTGTTTATGTGTGTACAGATGAGCACCCATGTATGTGCTCCCTGACACACATGCACTTGTGCCCTCCTGGTGCACGCTCCTGGCTCTGGTGGCAGGTGGGGCCTCTGCCATCATACAGCCGTGCCTTCTGTTCGGGCGGTTTCCCACCTCTATCATTCACAGTAAACGTTCCAGGCACTTGACTTTACGACTCTTCCATTCTGCATGTTAAGTAGCTGACACAGACAGCCTCCCGTGATGGCAGGTATACAGCCTGCAGCATTATGAGAGACAGAGAAGGGTCTTTCATGTCATGCCACGGAGCTTCTTAGCCCTCGGATTTTCCCCAACTCAAAGGTACTCGTTTATCAGGTTAGGGGGAAAGGACGGGAGGGCTAAAATGAAAGACAGGATCAGGCCAGCAGGTGGCACGGTGGTTAAGGCAACTGGATCCTACATGGTTGACTCTGCGGTTTGAGTTCCAGGCCCACCACCTAGAAAAACACACCGGGCACATGTGCATTTATGCTCAAAATCCCAGGAGGAAAATGGAGAAGGGACTGCAGCATGGCAACTCCCTGAAAGGTGCTTTCTCGCTTTCCCTGTCTCTTTGTCTCTGGTGAGTGCACGTGCCCTCTAGCAAGCTGTAGAGAGAGCGAGAGGATCGAGCCCTGGGCGTGCTGCTGACCGTGTACAGAGGGGGACCGCACAGGCCCGGTACCTGCTCCTGCTCTTCACAAGCCTGGGGCTGCATACCACCGGAAGTCAGGCTCATATCACCGGAAGTCAGGCTCATATCACCGGAAGTCAGGCTGCCGTTTGCCACGCTGACGCCGCACACGGGGATGCCCCCATCACTGTCTAGGTGACATCGTTCTCAGGTAACAAAACCGTTTGCTACTCCCAGGTGGGGCTCTGCTTCTAGGAATGTAGACCCCCTCTCCTTGCCTTCTCCATCCGTCTTCCTCCCCTGCTCTCCTCCCTTCCCGCTCTCATCTCTTGCCTGGCGTCCATTCTCCTGGCTCCTGCCCTGGACGCCCTCTACACTTGCAAAGGGATTCTGGCAACTCTATGTCTGGGTTTCAGGAAGGACAGGGGCCATCTCGAAGGCAAAGAAGGAGCCTCAGGGACCGGAAGGGCTGCCCCACGGATGAGCCCCTGGTGTGGCTGTTTCCTCTGCGGGCCCCCCAGCTCCTTCCCTCCGCGCCCGCCCGCGTGCCCGCGCTCCCACGCACACCGCGCCCGCCATGCACACCGCGCCTGCTGGGCTGTGAGCGCTTTTGCGGAGTCAGGGTGTGATTGAGAGGCTTGGGGACCAGCTGTCAGAGAGGCATTCTTGCTTCTCTTTCCCATTTCCCTGCTCTCCTGGCCTAGCAGCCAGGTATGAAAACAACAGCACTCCGGGTTTACGCAGAGCTTCTCATCCAGGAAATCTCAAAGCGCTTTTGCCAGCCAGGCTGATTGCGCTCATTTTTCTGGTGGAGGGAAGTGTCTTTTCTGGAAGAGAGGCAGAATGCCAAAATCTGTTCTGACTCCCCTGGGAAGAGCCCCAGAAAGCCCAGCACCCCTCCCCTGGACACACGGCCACTGCCTGCCAGGCCTGCCCAGACTGGGTGGCTTAAAGTACCAGGGACGCCATGCCTAAGGCACCTCCAAAACTAGGAATCCCACCGGGAAACCACAGGATGAGGGAGGACAAAGCTCCTCCCTACAGGGCACTTCTTGCCTTTCTAATGAGGTAAGAGGCAAGTCTGAGCTGCTGCGACCTCTGCAGCTGCCAGTTTCACAGGATTCATTCAGTTCAGCTCTGGAACCCTGAAAGACACGTTCCTCTCGTGAGAGTGCAGGGTCTCACCGGATCGTTATTCTGTGACTCTGGGTGGCCAGAGCCTGCCCGTCCCTTCTGCATGGACATAAATATCCCTCGGATTGCTTTCCTTCCTCTAGCTCCCTACCTCACGATGAGAGGCAGGTCTATGGATCTGGGGTGAGTGAGAAGGGAGAGAAAATAAAGGAGAAGGGGGATGCAGGGTGGTAGAGGAGGGGGGGATGCAGCAGAGAGAAAATATTATTGTGAGGAGCAGGAGGAGGGGCAGAGGGGAGGAGAGGAGGTGGGCCTGCTGTTTTTGTGGCCATCACTCTTGAGCCCATGCCCGGAGTTTTGACACTGTATGAGTCTGCTCGGCAGCCATGACAAAGCACCGCAGACTGGGTGGTTTAAACAACAGACATTTATTTTCTCACAGTTCCGGAGACTAAAATTCCATGCAGAAGATGCCGGCAGGGTTGGTTCCGCCTGAGGCCTCCCTCCCTGGCTTGTAGATGCGTCTTCTCCCTGTGTCTTCCCACAGTCTTCCCCAGTGTATGTTGGTCCACTTCTCCCCATCCTGTAAGGGCACCAGTCATATCAGATTAGGTTCACCTAATAGCATTTAACTTGCTCCCTTCTGCAAGGACCTCACCTCCAAGTACAGCCCCATCCTGTAGTTCTGGGGTAGAGGACTTCAGCAGCCCAGCAGGCAGGTAATTTGGGGAGGAGGACACACCTGAGCCTGTAACAGACCTATTATCTCCAAGCCTTATGATACCTCTTAGGGGTAGGGATTATTGTCTCCATTTTAAAGATCAGGAAGAGAGATGGACCACGGACCCAAAGTCATTCAACTGGACAGCAATGGAGATGGGTCAAGCACCAGACCCTACTTCTTCCCAAGGAGAGCTCAGTGGCTGTGCAGCACCACCTGTGGATGGAGGAGGAACGGCCAGCGAGTGGATGAGGAAGAGCATGACCTTCGCAGCCACCAGCCCCCACCTCCTTTGGTCACCCCATGACCATGAGCATCATGAAGAACATCTCCATGTCTCAGACAGCTCATCTTTACAATGTAAGGCTTGCAACAAAAAGCTAGCACCAGCAGTGAACACCACGTCCCCTCTTCCCAGGCTTTGTGTATGGTACGTACATATCTGTATGTGTGTGGGTGGGGGGGAATCTAAAGCAAATATCTATATTATTGTATAATACAACTTCCCAGAATCAGCATATGCACATATATGCACACTTACACCAAGACTCAAAGGGCAGTGCCCACTCCCACCTCTACGACTGCTGGGCAGCTTGGCCATGTTTTTCTATGAAGGTGGCAGACAGCAGGCTCCACAACCCTGACAACCTTACATCTGCCAATATCTCTGACTAAAGCAAGGACCACAGCCGAGCCCTCCTGTAGGGGGAAAGAAATACACTCTGTCCACAATGAGGCTGTGTCAGGGAGGCAGCTCCTGGGAAGGGTGAAGAACTGGGGCCAGCGACCCAATCTATTATAGTCCCTCTTAAGACTTCCTGGCCTTTATTAGCACCCTGCTATTCGGTCCCACCCTGCATTCCCCATTAATAAACCCATGAAAGAATACCAGCCTGTTCCTCTTAGGATGATGCATCCAGAGAGTATGTGCTGAGTCTGGGAATTGACTCCAGGGCTCCATGACAGTGCTGAGGTTAGAAATGCAATTAATCCTAGAGGGGTCAAAGGGTTAACATCCCCAACACCCTAACTCAGCGACGTTATTTACCCATGCTGTGTACATGATGCTTCAGAAGTCACAAGTAGCCTCTGCCAATAGACTGTAAAGATGTGATTAAATAAATTAATTAAAAAAAAAAAGAAGTCACAAGTAGCACCAAGTCCTCCCTTCTCTGCCTGATTATCCAGGTCCATCTCAGATGCTGCTGTAACCCCCATCTCCAGCTGAAGAGTAGAGCTAGTGGGTCAGCAACCCGCAGTCTCCTCCAGGGCACCCCATGCCCCTCCTCTGTGTTTGGCTGCTCAGACAGGTCTTTTAAGAACCTTTTAATTTAACAGGACCTTTGAGCTCCGTCCTTGGGCAAATACAATCACAAGCAGGCATGATAAAGTGATTTTGTAAATGGGCAGCCTGAGGCTGAGCCAAAGGGCAGCCAGGAGTCTGACAGAGCTTCCGGGACAACCAGTTCCAAGGGAATTGCAGTTTGGTGCAATCTTAAGTGGCAGAATCTCTCCTGACACCTACTCCTGCCCAAAAACAAGGAGCAAAGCTCAGTGTCTGGAGGACATTTTCCACCAATTAATGGCACATTTTCCCGATAGATCTCTGCAGAGATGCAAGTAGGAAGTGAGGAGGTGCAATGATACATATGTAAGGGATTATAAATGCACAGAGCTGATGAGATCACCATCCATTCGTGCATCGTGCGTTTGTTCACAATAGCCACCTTCCTACGTGAGGATTTCATGTGAGTGTGCATATTCCTAGAACCATAAATCAGACGCACAATCAACCCAATAATGGCGGAAACACTTGGGGATCAGAAGGTGAGCCTGCTGGTTCTGCTCTTTTCAGTATGAACTTAGGAGAGTCACTTAGTCTTTCACAGTCTCCATTTTTCATCTATAAAAGTGGGGTTAATGACCCTTGCCTTGGAGGATTTGGGTGATGAATAACAGAGTTGATGTACTTGCACTCGACAAGCAACTTTTCAATAAGGGAGTTTCATTTCATGCAACGGGGATGATGAAAACGAATATGGTCATTGTTTCACAGGTCTGAAAGCCTGGACATGTGGGAGTTATGCTCGGGGAGGTTTCACCTCTGAAAGTGAGATTTCGTGGGGACATGACAGACAGACTTGGTACACAGGAGGCTGCTTGGTGACAGCAAAAATTTTAGAAGTAAGGGGAGGTCATGCTAAAACTTTGCTTAAGATATTTCAGTAGCAACACAAACTTCCTGGAGTTGTCTAGCCAGGGTTTCGAACTTCCCCAAGTGAGGCTCTCTCCTGAGTACTTGGCCTCATTCCAGATTGCTTCTCCAAACATCCTGTCCTCTATCTGAGCCTTTGTGCATGCTTTTCCTTCTCCCCAGAACACCAATGCGACAGCTCGTTTGTCTGCATAACGCATTTATTTTGGGGGGATTTAACACAGGCGCTGCCTCCAGTGAGAAACCCTCTCAGACCTGCTCACATTTCAGCATGCTCCTCTTCCCGGATATCACAATTCTCCAACATCTCCCTCACCCTGCTCCAGGGTAGTGCCATAAGAGCTCTTCAAGGATGGAGTTCCACACCTCTCCAAGGAAGAAGCAGGACGGCAGGGAGGAAAGACCCATAGGAATGGCATTGGAGAGATGTCTTTTCTCAGTTCCGGGCTCCAATCCCTGTGGCAAAGCCATTTGCCTTCGGAGTAAGAAAACCCACTGGGAAGGAAGTAAAATTTATTTGACTCTATCATGTGAATTATGAAGGACCTGGGACTTCTGGTACACCCACGCTGGGAAATGAGGAGAGCAAGATTCACCACCTGCTCTAGGTTCCTATGATCTTCACATTTGGAAAATTCATCAGGTCTTTGAGAAGCTAGGGGAAAATCCATGTCTATCATTCTTTGTCTTAGCGAACATCCAAGATCTTCAAGGTCTACTAGAATCAGTATCCCACAGACTCTTAAATTGGTAGGGAGCCATTTCATTCGTCTGCCTCCCTTTTCAGCTACACCAAGACACTTAATAAATAGCTGTTGCAGGAGCCAGGTGGTGGCACAGTGGTAAAGCACAGTGCTCTGTTTGGAAATCCCACATGAGAAGGTTCCCGGTTTGAGTCTGGAAACCTCCCTGAATATGTGAGGCACATGCTCGCCCATGATCTGGGGCTGGCTGAAATTGGGGGTGGATGGCAACATGGAGAGTCTACCAGGGGTGATCTTTCTCTGTCTCTGTCTTTCATGGATGAGATAAAACACTTCAAAACATATGTAACTGTTGAATGAACTGTTGATAGATAGAATGGAAGAAGCTCATGGTCTAGAGATGGAGAGAGTCCTCTGAGGCCCCACAGCCTGGGGAGGGTCAAAGCTACCTCAAAATCCAGCTGTTCTGAACCCAGGTGTCTCAGAACGCCATCTGATCTTCACTGTATCTGCGGTCTTATTGTCAACGAAGTAGAACAATCACATTCTTTTCCATTTAAAATGTTATTGTGTGCTATTTCGATTTCAAAAGTGAGACAAACACACACTGCAATGAATCACTGAGTAACAAAAAAAATACACTCGGATGGTAGACTCCAAGTTTATTTTCCATCGGGTGGACACACACCGTTTATTGGGTAAAGAAACCGTCCCAAGGACAGCCTTGCCTACCTCCTGAGCATCAGAATCACATGGTGGCCACAGTCCCCGGGGTCTCTGCAAGGGGGAGGTGTTCCGAGGTTAGAGATTATTTCTGCAAGGTCTGGTTCCAGGGAAACAGAGCCTGAAAACCTCAGACTTCCTCTCTTATTTTTGTTTTAAATATTTTATTGAAGTAGTAAAGGCCATCCCATAAATCTGAAGGCAGAACAAAGTGTTTTGAAAACACATAAAATAATATTGTTCTCAGAACCCTGATGTGTCCTTAGAAAAGGATCATTCTCCTAATCCACTTCTCCCTGTGGTCCCGGCAGGGAGCTTTCAGAGAAGTGCTTGAGAAGGTAGAGAGTGAAGCACAGGAGTCGCCTCCAGGCCAAGGGGCAGAGAAGCGCAGTGAATGACCAGGAGCCCCGGAAGGGCCGCCCACACCGCCCTTCCTCCCGTACCAGCAGCTCGAGAGTGGGGGCAGAGGCCTGCAGTGGCAGAGCAAAGACGTGATCTCGGCAAGGCTGCCCCGACATGGGAAGGTTCTGGGTTTGAGTAGAGACCTCCCTGGCCCCACTAGGCATGTGCATGCCTATGATCTGAGGCTGGCTGGGGTGAGGATGGATCATGATGTCAAAACCCCATCAGGGTGCCTCTGTCTCACTTCCTCGCTCTCTGTCTCTTATGTTCATAAAATAAGTAAATCTTTACCAAAGAAAAATAACTTGTTGCGGGGGGTGGGGGAGTGTTCCAGGAATGCTGGGCTGGAAGAGGTGAGGCTGTCCGTGGGCTCATGACAAAATTTTGTGGCCTTCATCACAGGCTGCCTGCCACATGACTCTCTTGCACAGGGCAGGGGAAGTGCCACCACCTTTGTTTTGTTTTTCATGAGAAAGGGGGGGGGGGCGGAGAGGCAGACACCTAGGTGCCCTAGCAGGGTCCCCATGCTGTGATTGACCCCATCCCCTGCCAGCCTCAGACCATGGGCACACACGTGTCTTCCATACGCAGGGGCTCTCTGGACATAAAGGTGGAGCCCTCCCTTGGAGACCAGCCCCTCAGAGTGTCACATCACTGCTGTGTCACCGTCTGGCCCTGAGAGCTCCATCTTGACCAGCTCAGTCTGTCAGTGGTGGGGCTAGAGCCCTCTCCTCAACCGGTCTACTCAGACCCATGTGCCACTGTCACTCTGGCCAATGGGGATGGTGGGCCAGGTTCCTGTGCTCACCTTACCCCTCCCTAACCCTGCTCCTCCACTCTGGCCTTCCATGTGACCTCACTCCCAGGAGTCCGGGACATTGATGCAGTTCCCATCTTTCTCTCTTATCCCAGCCATTTCTAAAGAGAAGGGTCTGATCAATAAATTCTCCCTGAGATATAAAAGTCTAATAAAGTTTAATAACTTGCCTCTCCCAGGAGGATTTGCATTTTAACAGGGGAATAGCAGTCTAAGCTAAAGAAATTAGGCTGTAATGGTACAATTTCAGGCACCATCAAGCAGCTGAGGGAGGCATTTTTGGTGGGAGGCTGGACCACCCCAGCATTCCTAGGGCAGCCTACTGGAGGTCAGGAGGGAGCTGTGAACATACCGATGCCAAGGACCCTTCTACAAAGCCTCTTTCCCAGCACCAGGGGGTGTGCTGCTTCTCAGGCCCTTATTCTTTGTCATTGTTTCAGCCTGAAGACATTCTTGGGGCCCTAGAATATGACTGGAGACCTTTTATACATTGACAGTTCCAAAAAGCCAGCGATAGCACGAGGATCAAGGACACAGCCCTGGGACGAGCAGTGATACAGTGGTAATGCAACCGGACCCTCACGGGGAAACCCTCTAGGTTCCCAATCCGGGACCTCCATGAACGCAGCAGGGACACACGTATGCCATGATCCCGGGGGGCTGAGGCTGGGTGTGGATCGCTGTGTGAGGACCTGTTCGGGAGCTCTCTCTGCCTCTCACTCACTGCTTCTCTCTAATGAAATAAGTAAATACACTTAAAAAGGAAAAGAAAACAGCCCCGAAGTCAAGCTGCCAGGTTCCCCACTGGCTCTTGAGTTGAGGCTGTGTGGCCCTCTACAGGTTGCTTGTCTGTAAGATAAGACTAATAACAGCATCTGCTTTTCAGGGGGGAATGGGATGCTATGTGCAAAGTCACGTGAGAATTGCTTGGTAATTGTTCAGTATTATTATCAAAATATTGGTATCTACACATTCTAAGAGCCCATAGCCCAGAAGCAGAGAGAAGCAGACAAACACCTCCAAGCACACTGGGATTCCCCCCACTTCCAGGCTAGCAGGGGCACAGTCATGCCAGAGCAGTGACTTCTGATGAGGGGCAGGAGACGGGGTGTCCAAGCGACAGCAAGTGTGGTGTCAGCGGAGCACAGATAGAAAGCAGGATGAGGCAGGTTTCACGGGATCTCGAATTCCGAGGAGCACTCCTGGTCTTCTCAAACAGGCCCTGCTGCTGTGCTGTGAGAAGCAATTCTGGCATGTCAAGGATGAGCGAGAGTCAAAGAAAAACTAGAAAGTTGTCTCCAAGTAAAACATTTTTTAGAAGTTTCTTCACTATTTCTTCAGGGGGAGAGGGAGGCCCCCAACAGGGTCTCCATGCAGTGCTCCAACCCCCAGTTCCACCCAACTCAACCTGGTAGTTCAGACCTGCCGAGTTTCTGCTCTCCCTCTGGCCCTTTCGCTGGCTCTCTGGTTTTCTGCATTCCTGGTACGTCTGAAGTTCTCAGCTTTTTTACTAAAATCATAAATCTTTTCCTAAGTAAGAGATGGACCTGACTTTGTCTACCAGCATTCAAACCACCAAAAACCCACTAGCCTCCCCTGACAGAGCAGTAGTTACCTTCCCTGATGGTTTGCTCTCCCCGGCTGGGGTTCGGTTCTTACACACACTGCTCACAGCCCAAATCAAACCGTGACGCACAACCACCGGGATGCCGTGTGGAACTCTATGCTACCCTACCTGGGCTCAGCCTGGCTCACCTCCAGGGTCTCATAATGAGGCGTAGAGGAGATGCCCACCCCCGCCCCCTCTGTGCGACACTGCCCGCAGGATTCGTGACAGTCTCTCGGAGAGGAGCGGTAATGGAGTTTTTATTGCTTGTGCTTCGTTGCATTTGATCCTAATGCCAGGAGGTTATTGTTCAGATTGGTTTTCAGGTCAATGCTAATTAACTTTATTAATGCATTTTTGGTGAAGGGAAAGCAATAGGGCCGAGTTCTGTTCATATTTGTCCGGTCCTTACCGTCAAGCGACATTGGACGTGGCATGTCTATTTAGAATCTGATGTTAAGGGGCAGTGACCTTTCTGGATGGCCCAGAAAACAGAGAGTGGAACGCACAGGTCCAGGAGAGGGTTATCTCCTACGGAAAGGAAGCAGGGAGAGGAGGAAACCACTCCAGCGAGATAAAGGCTAAACCTGTGGGGGAGTGGAAGGAAAAGCAGAGTGCTATGCTAAGGCAGCCCAGAGCAGGAGGGCGTCCTGGGCTCAGGCCCCTCCACCCACAGGTGCCCCAGAGCCTTTCCCCAGTCTTGGTTCTTTCCTCCGTAACTGTCTTGCCTCCAATTGTTTTGAGAAGGAAAACCATTTGTGAATGTGCCAAAATACAGTGCTCAGCTTGTATTGCGTTCTCAACATAAGCTAGCTGAGTTTTAATGGGGTCGGCATGTCTGAGGTGTGGGTTCTGGGGTCACTCATCCTTTGTCTCAATAAACATTTGTTTAGCTGAATGCACTGTATCCCAGGCCTAGCTGTGACAAACGATAAAGCACTAAGCAAGACACAGGTGATCCTTGTTCACCCTTACACTCTGAGAGCGGTAGGTCCTGTCCCAGGACAGGTCCTAGAAACTACCTATTGCCTTTAGGTGAGCAGGCTGGAGTTAACTGCTGCCTTCCTGGGTAGAGTTTTGACCTTATAGGTCAGAACCAGCATGCCTTATAGCCCTTGATATGACCACCTCGGACCTCTGACCTTCGTGTGGTATACCCACGATAAAATGGATAGATTTAAGCTTATTTTTCTTTCTTTCTTTTTTAAGAGATTTTTGCTATAGGGCACATGCGCTCACCAGCGAGACAGAAAGTGAAAAATCACCCCCCAGAGGGATGGCCATCCCTCAATCCCTCTCCAATCTCTCGTGCTTTGGGGCACATACACATATGTGCTCAGTGTGAGTTTTAAGCTGCGGGTCTGGGACTTGAACCACTGTCGACAATGCGGGAGTCCAGTAATGTATCTGCTATGCTATCTGCTGGTCTCTAGACTCACTCCTGTTAACCCCAGCTCCAAGAGAGACAGAACTTGTGAAGAGACTCAAATGACCTTTCAAGAGTGTAATGCAACCTGTCTCATGAGAGGACCTCTCTTCATTATAGTGCCAACCCAGAAATGATCCCACCACTTCCAGAGAAAGGGAAACCATACTGGGAGTCACCGTGCTCTCTTGGAGGAGACTGACACTTGAGGTCATTGTTCTATTTTATGAGTTAGGACCCCACCGTGTCAGAGATCTCTGAGTTGCATTGGTTTCAGAGTCTTTGAGTTCCCCTAACCCTACGTGGTATATGCCTCAGAGTGATTTCCTGAAAGACACTCATGAACTTCATCAACAGCCAAGTGTGGGGAATCTCACATCCTCCTCAGCCTTGAGAGAAGGAAGGAGAGGGGCTTTGGAGGGCAGGAGGAATGGGTGTGAGGGAGGGCCCTGGCTAAGGAAAGAGCACACTTCGCCAAAGGAGAGCATGAAGCCAGGCACTCACGGTGAATGGGAGCCGACGAGGGAATCAGCACTGTAGGTCACTGTACTTTTCCTTTCCTCGTTAAAAGAAAGCAGAGTCTAAGACAAAGCAGCGCAGGTCTCAGCGATTACAGAGCGGTCATTTCAGCAGGTGTCATTGTAATGCCACACGCACGTCTTCCTGTGCTGCGTACACACACCACAAATACAGCCACTAGATTCCTTAAGTCTACACAAACTAGCCCCAGCTCCAAACCTCGCACAGCATGGGTGTCTATGAGTGTGTGGCCCGTGCTCACACGCTTCACAACACAGCCTCTAGCACACACTGCAAACCCTAGGGGGGAACCAAACAGCCATCGGAGGCTGTGCTGCCTTGCTATTTCCATTGAGTTTTTTGACAAATGCATAAATAATAAAATAGCAATAAAAACACCATGATGGTTTGCCTGCTGACATGGAATGGCTTGTCTTGGTAATTCCTCTTCCATTTCCCAAGTGGCTCCCTAGATCACAGGACAGAGTAAACACCTTTCTCTGTGCTTGGAACCATTGTGCAGTCTAAAACTAACCACACCCCAAGATGCCAGGCCCACAACTGGGTGACCATCTGCGATGTCGGGAAAGCATGCTGGCTCGTGGTCAGCGGTCCTGGGTTCAAGTGTCCGCTCTGCCACCTCTACCCAATCACCTCGGTGAGTTGCTGGGTTCAAAATGGGAGTAAGAGCTTAGTCGCATTCAGTGAGAGCGTGGATGAAGTCCAGCTTGTGTGATAAGTAAGGAGGGCCCCCGCTACTCCTCAGTGTTAGCCTTGTTGACTTGAGGTCCCCTACTCGATTTCAACAGTTTCCTTTAAAAGTATGGCTTTCCAGTTATTTGTTTGTTCAAAGTGAAGTTATTAAAGATTAATTATCTTCAATTCTGACAAAAAATTAAAGACACCCTAGGGTGTCTGTGTATCTAACCTAAGAAGATTAAAAGACTCAAATCCTGTGAAATATAGATAATAATTCCTAATATTTGTACAGAAATTTCACTTTTAAAATCATTTTTGTGTAAGTAGTTCCTCAAGATCCCTCAAAAGAAGGAAAGGCTAGGGCAGAGAGACAGCCGAGCTTCAGAACAGGTTCCATCCTGTCAGAGCTCTGAAGCCTGCTGCGGGGGAGTCGTCTGGCCCCATAAACTGACTGTAGGAAGCCATCTCCATGGACTCACTGGCCCTGGTTGGCCACCGGGTGCTCCGAGCACCTGGAACCACAGCTCAGTGGTGAGGCAGGTCACAGGCTGGCTGATTTGTACGCCAGAGGACCCTCGGACACACAAGACTGTCTACCTGTTGGTTCTAGACAGCCACAAGCTTCCCAGGCAACTTCCGGTGTGTATCAGACTAAATTCTTCTGCAAAGGCTGCAGCTCTCACCTGCCACCCCACCCACATGCCCTTTCTGCCTTGATGTCTTTGAGTTGCAATCTTGAAGGAGAATGTCTGCTTATGTGTCTTGGTTGACTATTGTGGTTCACATTGAAATATCTGCACCTGTGCAAATCATCAAAATAGAAGTTTAGTCAGCTCATAGTTGGGAGGTCCAAGGTCCAGAGGCCACGTCTGGTGGGCATCTTGCAGGTCCTGACCATGCCACGGGGGTGAGAACAGAGCAGAAAAGTTGTCCATAAATCTCTCTGCTCTGGACTCATTTCCTCTCCTTATAAACCCACTAGATTCAGTCATGGAGGACCTCTCCCAATGATCATAGGCTCCCCAAAACCCCATCTGTAAACACCATAATTGACTCAAGTTTTTACCGTCTTAATTCCAATATCATGTTTCAACACATAAATGGGGGGGTGCACAAAAGATTTAAGATTTAAGATTCCTGATAGAAGTCTCCCAATCGCTTTACCTAGCAGGCAGTATGTGAGAGCGTCTCTCTCTCGCTCCTTTGCCACCAGCACTGAGGATCATACAGGTGTGTATCTGGGGGAGGGCGTAAGGAAGCCTAATTAGGGTACCTGCAGGGAGTACACAAGCATGTGACTTTCTGACACTGGAAAGGGGAACTGTAGAAACAAACATACTCTCCTGACGTCAGAGGGCAAGATGTCACCAGTAGGGTGCATTTTTTTTCCAGTTTGATGATGCTCTAAATATTGTAGTTTGGTAAGACCCAGGTCACTCTTCTGGGTAAGTGGGCGAGTCGGGAGCATGTCCCTAGGCTGTGGGCGGCAGGGCACGTTTGCCCCACGTTTCTCTCTCCCTGTGTGAGGCTGAGCACGTGGAATGCTGACGCCATGTCATTGCTTTCAAGTCTCTCCTCCTTTTGCTCTGCCTTTCAGGACCCATGTTGTACCAGAAAACCTCGATTAACCAGAAGAAGAGTGTGTTTTCTGAAGACCTGACTTTTTGGCTAATGGAACATTTATTTTATTGTTTATTATGTGCGATGCAGGGAACCGGCAAACGATGTGGAACAGGCCTTATGTCCTATTTAAAATCAAGTAAACTGGAGGATCTCTGTGAGGCTCCATGCCCAAGGACACATGACTGGGAAGAACAGAGCTGGTAGTTGAGCCAGGAAGCCCTGCCCCATGGTCCAAGTGCCAAACGGCTTCACTGGGCTTTACCTAACATGCTTCATTTTTTAAAAAGAATTATTTTATTTAATTTTATTTGTTTTAATTTGACCAGAGAGGGACAGAGAGAGAGAGAAAGTGAGAAAGCAAGCCTCCAGGTCCAAGACTCAAACTGCTGTCAGCCATGTTGGGAGTCCAGCTACCTAGCAGGCAGTATGTGAGAGCGTCTCTCTCTCGCTCCTTTGCCACCAGCACTGAGGATCATACAGGTGTGTATCTGGGGGAGGGCGTAAGGAAGCCTAATTAGGGTACCTGCAGGGAGTACACAAGCATGTGACTTTCTGACACTGGAAAGGGGAACTGTAGAAACAAACATACTCTCCTGACGTCAGAGGGCAAGATGTCACCAGTAGGGTGCATTTTTTTTCCAGTTTGATGATGCTCTAAATATTGTAGTTTGGTAAGACCCAGGTCACTCTTCTGGGTAAGTGGGCGAGTCGGGAGCATGTCCCTAGGCTGTGGGCGGCAGGGCACGTTTGCCCCACGTTTCTCTCTCCCTGTGTGAGGCTGAGCACGTGGAATGCTGACGCCATGTCATTGCTTTCAAGTCTCTCCTCCTTTTGCTCTGCCTTTCAGGACCCATGTTGTACCAGAAAACCTCGATTAACCAGAAGAAGAGTGTGTTTTCTGAAGACCTGACTTTTTGGCTAATGGAACATTTATTTTATTGTTTATTATGTGCGATGCAGGGAACCGGCAAACGATGTGGAACAGGCCTTATGTCCTATTTAAAATCAAGTAAACTGGAGGATCTCTGTGAGGCTCCATGCCCAAGGACACATGACTGGGAAGAACAGAGCTGGTAGTTGAGCCAGGAAGCCCTGCCCCATGGTCCAAGTGCCAAACGGCTTCACTGGGCTTTACCTAACATGCTTCATTTTTTAAAAAGAATTATTTTATTTAATTTTATTTGTTTTAATTTGACCAGAGAGGGACAGAGAGAGAGAGAAAGTGAGAAAGCAAGCCTCCAGGTCCAAGACTCAAACTGCTGTCAGCCATGTTGGGAGTCCAGCACCTTAACCACCACACCACCTGCTGGCCATGCTTTGTTTTCATATTAGACCTTGTTACTGAAAAGCTTCTAACCTTTTAATATGCATTTTGGCGAGTGACGTGGAGCGAAGAGGACAGATTCTAGAGGTCATTTTGAGGCGTTCTTAAGCTCAGTCCCAGCCGCCTGTGGATTCACCAATTACACGTTCAGGAGCCTGGGGTAGGTGTATCCTGAGCCAAGCATCCCATCATGCCCCACTGAGGCTGGTTTTTGTTCTTTTCCATTTTCTACTACATTGCTGCTATGAATCTGTGTTTGGAAAGAACACCAAGTTTTCAAGTCAGACACTCCCCAGTGCTCCACTGCCATTGGCTGGTTAACCCTACTCAACTTATTTATCTTTTTGTGAAGATCCTCAGAAACCTCTTAGATGGCTGTCTGGCACATTTAGACATTCAATAAAAGAGCTTCTATTGCTTTCTGATGCCCAGGTTCAGATCGCAGCCTCTTCTGCACTGAGGCTTGGAAGCAGCGCTGTGGGGAAGGGGGTACTGTCTAGTAGCATCCTGTTCTATGCAGGTAGGAGCGCATTCTGTCCCATATCCTGCGTGTCTGTGCTCGGAGACCCAGAGGACAGACCGCTCTCACTGCTGGCTGGTGCGGAGGATGTAACAAATGGCGGTCGCTGCATAAAGTTAGAGAAAGCACGTGGTCTGGTTCTATCCAGGCCAGGTTTCCGGAGGGCAAAACTTCTATTCGGGCTACATTTTGTAAGCCTATCTGAAATAATTTGAACTAAGGTCAATAAACATCTAAGTTTCCAATTGAATTACTGCCTGAAAACCACGCCAGCAGTGCTTCCTCCCTGACCCTGAACAGAGGGCGTGAGGGGTGGGGAATGGTCTACAGTGCTCTGATCTGTAAAATGTCTAACCCTGCAGACCATCTCTGAGCTCCTCCTACTCCTCTCTCCCCTCACTCACATGGTTTGGCCATGTAGCCTTCTCTCCTTCTCTTCAACACACCCGCTGTATCTTAGGGCTTTCTGCTACACTCCCCTCTACCTAGAAATGCCTTCCTGGTCCCTCATGGACTGACTCTTCAAGTCTAACCATATGCGTCATCTCTTGAGAAACCCTTTCCTACCACTCTACCTGTATGAGTACCCTAGACACCCAGTTTGATCCCTCATAGCAATGCTCCTTTCAAAACTCACTGATTTATTGTCTCACTCATTCTATGAGCAGAGATTGTGTTTAAGTCACTGAGTCCAACACAGTTCATGGTATATAGCATGTGTCTAAGGGAAAGAAGCTAAACATGAATGAACAAATGCCTTCCCAGTGGCAGCCTTACTGTAGATCAGGTATTAGCATGCTTTGGTGACTGCCTAACTTCTGGGCCTGGTGACCCAATTATGCACAGCGGCTGCCTCTAGCCGTTCCTTCATGACCCTGCTGCAACATTACAGAGTTCTCAGGCAGATGGCACCCTAAGGAACAGTGCAATATTGGCTTGCTCTTCTTGCTACAAATATCAAGAAAAAGAAAAAAGGAAAAGAAAAAGCAATTGATTTAAATATGTTTATTGTGTGGGTACTGTGTCCTCTGCAGAGCTGGGACTATGGCAGGAAAAAAACCACAGCTCTCCCATTTCAGGTCTTTCAACCTAGCTCATATCTGCAAGGTGTTTGAGAGGTTGCAAGCCCCTCGTCTTCCTTCCATTTTCCCTGTTTAAGAGATTCCTGGAGTATCTCTCCCTGTGGAACTTTCCTCTTCCTACGTGGCTCTGCTTCTCATTCAACAGAAAACCCAGTTTGGGGGCCAAGACTGGTCGAGCTGTTACCAGAGCTGGGCTGCAACTTGTCTTAGCTGATCATTCTCAGCACAGTTTAGGGTTAATTGATAGCTGAGTGCTAACCCTAAATCGCCCATGAGTTCACCGTGGAGGGCTAATCGTAGAACAGTTCAGAGAAATTGAAAGGTGGGTAAGTTACAGTTGCTCCCAGCTTCAGGTAGTTTATTTTTTACATTTATTTATTTATTTCTCCTATGAGCAGGAGAGACAGAGAGACACCACTTCCAACAGGGTCTCAGTGCTACAATCCACCCCCGGCTACAACCAACCCTGGGTTATGGGCCAACAGGAAGGCCTCTGAACACAGACTCAGAACCTCCCCATGTGGGGGAGGCCTGCAGGTGCCACTGTCTGGCCTCCAATATCATGTCATTTGGGGCATGTGGGAAGTCCACAAACGGATGCAAGGAACCTTATAAAAGGGACAACCAACTGGGAAGATTTAATGGGAAAAAATAATCACAGCAGGCTGGAAGGTCACGAGAGATGGGTGAGGCAGAACTAAGTTCAGGGTCACTCTGAGCAAACACAGAGAAAGGCGTAGTGGGGCCAGCAGGGGCTGCTTCGGCCATGCACCATAGGCTGGACTAGCCCTCCTTGTTTCCTCCAACCTGCCACTTTGTCCCCTCCTGATGACTGAGGATGCTTGCTAGCCACTGCCCTCAGCACCCCGACAGCACACGGTACCTCTGCCCGAAAATTCCAAGCGTTGAGAGGTAAAGGTTGCCATACGCTGATCCACAGGGATCAGGCCAGACCTGACATCACAGATAGGGCATATAAAGGGGCAGCACAGCGTTCCATCAATTCCCAGGCACATTCTAAGAAACGTCTGTGTCTGGTCCTATCAGACCCCAGAGCTGAGGAAAGCAGCCCTGTCCCCCTGATACAACCACGGCCTTGGGAGGAGAGGAGACTCAAGTACACCGTGTGCCATAGGTCAGAGAAGGCGCGATGGAGCGAGCTGGGCAAAGATCCACAGGGGAGGTGCCACTCGAAAGTTTCAGACAGAGTCTGGGAAAAATGGCATTTTAGAAAAAGAAGGCCATAGAACAGCCTACACAAAGATCCAAAGGTAGGACTGAGGAGGGGCCTACCTGGGGATCTAGTGGAGTAACTGGTAGGGGCTGGGGAGAGAGCACAGACTTACCTGGGAGGATGCAGGTTACTGCAGATCCGAAGAGCCAGATCCAGAAGGCTGGGCTTGGCGGCAAGGCCAGGGTGTTGAAGGGAAGTCAAAGAGCCAGCAGTGGATTGAGGTGGAGGGAGGCATGGCTGCGAGGTCCAGCTGTCCTTGCAGTTCTCAACCTATTAGAACACAGAGTTCAGACTGGGGGTTCCCGCAGGCTATACTCAGGGCCGACTTCCTCACATGCTTCCCTGGGAACCCGTGTAAGTTTTTTCCAGAAGCACAGCTCAGACCAGGCCACACGACATGATATGGACAGGAGGGAGGGTGACCAGACTCCCTGGGCAGGGACTCCCTGCAGGGGCGACTTCAATGGTGGCAAGCATGCAGACCAGGGCCAGGGGCCATGGCTGCACGTCCTCAGACCAGACACGTGCTGTAGTTCAGCTTTTCCTCACGGAGTCGGGTGCACATGAGCGTCTGTCTCCTAACGCTGGAAGCACTCAGTGGGCAAGAGTGTTCCCAGAAGCACATCACTGGGTCTCTGCCGAGCTTGCTGCCCAGTAAGCATCTGTCAGTGCGGTGGGTTCAGTCACATGGTACATCTTACTGTGGCCTCGGGTTGAACTCAGGACACCACCTACCTACCACCCCCAGCCAGTACTCAGGCCAGCAGTGCAGGCCCCTAATTAATGGCATAATTGTCCATTTCCACTCTGCCAACCCCTTTGCTGGCATGACATTGCAGCCTCCCCCCACTCAGGAGCCTCCTCTCTGTTGGTCATGCAGAGAGCTGAAGACAGTGATTAATAAATGCCCAGGATATCAACCCTTCACAGGAGGATGCTACATCCTCCAGCATGAATATGCATGGGCCACTGTGAGAGGACACGGTGGGCCACCAAATTGACAGGCCGGTCACCAGGGAGATGCAACAAGCTAGGTGCATGGAGAGGGTGGCCTTCCACAGCCTGCTGTCAGCCCCACCATTGCCTAGGAAGATCGGTTGGCAAATGGGAACACAGAGAGTCCACCCCATCCTTGTCCTACTCAGTGCCCCGAGGAGCTACTAGG